TAGCGTGTGCCAGAGGCTTGATGGAGAGGAATAGTGGTATGCTGGGGACAAGATGAGGCAGGGAGCGTGGAGGAAGCGAGAAGACGACCTGAACTTGATCAATTATTGTATCTCGAAAAAGAGGGTGCTGCATAGGGTAGACTGGACGGAAGTTCGGACTCGCGCGCGACTCGCGAAATGAACACTGAATGTGGGCAAGACGCGATCACGGGATATGGTCGCCATATGTACTAGCGCCCATGCCCGACGCGCGACGCGCGTCCCCGCTCCGTGCTGGCAGCTATGTAGGTCTGGGAGGGACCTGCCGACTGGGTTTGGTATCGGTAGAGCAAAGTTGGAGATCTTCTCCCATGTCTCCGGGTCCGTGGTGACGTAGTAGCGGTATTGCGAGTCCACGGCCTGCAGTGATTTAAGCCGGACCTGATCAAGGTAGACAGGGCAGGTCTTGCTCTAAGCCGCGTGGCCGTCTTCTGCACCGTTCTTAGCCTCCTTGCAGGTAGTACAACAGTGGGAGTCGGTGTTGCGGATCGATATGGGGCATTCGGCTGTGCGGTGGGTCTTTGAGCAGGTGGCGCAGGTGTCTTTGTGTGCCGGACATGTCTGGGGGAGATGGAAGGGGGAGTACTGCTGGCACTGCTTGGCGCAGCGGATGGGGTCTGTGGAGTCCTTTCGGATGTCTACACGCTTGCTGTTGAGGGTTAGCCCTTTTCGGATGATTGCATTAGCAGCTTTCGCCGACCGTGCGGCCACGACTCGCAAATGCGCGGTCTGCTGCTCGGGGTGACGTCTCTCTATCGCCTTGATCCACCTGACACTGAGTAGTGTCCCCGCTTCGATCCCGTTCTCCTTTTCAATGCGAGACAACGCCACACTCTCCTGCGTGTCCAGGGGATGGGAGCATACTGTGCGACAAGTTTAAATGGATGGGGGGTGATCGTCGCCCCTGCGGACAGGTTCCGCGCGAATGCGGCGGCCTGAACGGCATTCTCTCCAATCCACAGAGCCTGCTCTGCACTTTCGAGCTCAAAAGCTACCCCTCCCTCGTGCAGTTATGTGGGGGTGCTTGGAGCCTGGAGGGGGGTCCAGGGCACCAACCTATTCCACCGCCGCCTTCGCGGTCAACTTCGCCTTCTCCACTAGCACCTGCTCCGTGACCCGCTTCCCCGACTTGTCCTTGCACGAGACCCTGTCCACACAGATCTCTTTCTCACAGCGCGCAGCCTTGTCTATCGACCGACGGAGTTCCAGCGGTGGGGCAGGGCCTAATGTCGCCTGCGCGGCGGCCTGCTTAATGCCCAGTGCAAACGACGGATTCGTCAGGGCCTCCAGGGCCGGTGCAAACTCCTCCTGTGTTCCAGCTCTACCAAGCTCTCCACTCTGTCCAAGCTTCTCCTCTACCATCTACAGTGTGGTCTCTAGCGAGGACGATGCAGCCTTGTACGCCTCCACTGCCGAGGTGTGTATCTCCTCCACCTTCTTCCCGACTTTCTGCAATTTGTGATTCGTGAAAATGGTGCTCACCTTCTCAGCGGGCGAGAATTAAAACAGGGCCGCGATCAGCTTGGCACACTCTGCTGTGGTCTTTGGCGGCATGAGTGTGATTGCGGCCAGGGCTCGGGTGACTTGCTCTTGAGATGGCGGGGTGTCGTCGTCCCAGTTGATTTGGTACTTCGTGAGAGCTCCATGCGCCGCTTCCACGCTGGGTATTAAGCCCTTCAGGGCCTCTAGTGTATGCGCTTCTGACAGGTTTTCGATATCATCTAGCGTGTAAGTCTTCTGCGGGCGGAAGGCGCCGGACGTGGTCCGGGTCGTCGGCGGGGACCCCTTATTCTTGGCCGGAAGGGGCATGTCGTCAGGTATAGTGCTTGCAGACCAAGAAAGAGTAAATAGTTAAGCTAGAGATAGTGTTCTACACGTCTACTGCCCACTCCAGGTAACAGAGAGGCGTGGGCACTTTTCTGATGGTGGCGGTAGCAGAAGAAGGAACCTCCTGCAAGAGGGGTCATGTCAAACTATGCAGTCAACCAGGGCGAGAGCGTGTAGGCGTGGTGCTGTAGCCTATGTTCTCAGACCCGAGGGTGTGCAACCAGACGTCCTCAGTGTAGCAGGCGGAGTTGAAACACACATCACAGGAGGAGGGGACAGTGAGTGCGGCCAGCGGAGGTGGACAGCGGAAACAAGACGGGGTGGCAAGGCAGCGAGTACACAGCGCGGGACGCATGGATAGCAACAGGGCGTGATACGGGGCGGCGGCGGGCGCCCGCAGTCCATTAGGGTGTAATGAATGATGCATCGCAGTGTGATGCCACGCGGAGCGGGGGGTTCACACAGGTCGAGACACACTCTGGGTCCACGTCAACCCACTTGCCTATCATGGGTGTGAAGGACGCTGCCTGCCTCCGAATACACACACGACAAAAAGAGGTGCTGGAGAACTCACCTTTAAAGAGGCACTGAAGTACCCACCTTTATTTGGCCCTGACAGAAGACGAATGAAAAAGAGATGGGAATGGAGGACGCGCGCAGTGCCGAGGTCGACGCGTTGTGCAGGAGGGGTGTGAAACGGAACCAAGGGGTACTGCCAACTTCGCGGAGCCATGTCAGTGTGGCGCTGGAAGCCGCCAGATGATCTAGCCGTATCGCGTGACGCGAGCGAGAAAAACGGTCGTTCCCGGCAGGGAATTCCCCCGGACACGGCGCACTCTGTTATCAAATTTCCCACAGTACCAGCGCCTATCGATGGTGAAGACATCGCCGTCTTGCCACCTTGACAACCCTGCATCATCCCCCGTCCAGCCTGACAGACAGCTCACTAGAAAATGATGCTCAAATTACCCACCGAAATGCACAATGCCATCGTGGATCTGCTTCCCCGCGCCGACAAACGGACTTGCCTTCAAGTGTCAACCCAATTCCATGGTGTGGCTCTTGCTCATCTCTTTCGGCACATACACATCACCTTTGGGTCGGTCAAAGAAGAAGTGGAAGATTGCGAAGATCAATGCAACACAGGCCTGGGCATGAGTGAAAAATGCCGGGAACTGCTGGAGTATATTGCCACCACTCCATCATTCGCGACAGTGGTCAAAGACCTCACTGTGGAGGCTTTCGCCTCTGCACCGAGGGAATCTTTGGCGTTGGAAATGGGTACGTGCCCACTTTCGAGACAAATGGCTGTGATGTAAGTCTAATTGCTCGCAGAGGCTCTTCACCAGGGTGTCCGTGCCCTTGGCCCTGGACTGCGTTCCTTCACGTGGTTTGGACCATGCCCTCAGGTGACAGATATATTGGCTCCTCTCTGCCAGTGTGCCGGTCAAAATTTGCAGTATCTCTATGTACCGTATGTGTTATGTTATGGATGAGACCTCTGACAATATCTAACTGTTATCTTGGACAGGTGGAAGGCTACGGACAGCCCTCTGCTAGCTGAATTCTCAAACCTTCGGTCGCTTCATCTCATGGCAGAAGAGGAGGATGGAGAAGACGACACTGTGCCAGGCACCCTTCTAAGTGTCTCTTCCATCAACCACTTACGTTCGGCTGTTGGCAATAACTCCAGCTCTCTCCGTGACATCGAGGTCGTTGGACCGGCTGCACCCGCTCTCCCTGATGCTCTTCTGCGACATCTTCGCTGTCTAAGCATTCAATACTCTGAAGACCTTCTTTCTCTTGGACGGGTGTTGTCAGGGTGTCATTTGTTGGAAGACCTGTCCCTTCACCTGCTGCTGAACCCATCAATGCAAGAAGACCTCTCCCAAGTGTTCCATCGTGACCAACACCCACTCCTCACCAGTCTCAAGCTCAACATACCTGCCCTTACCAGAAGAACCACACTGCCCTATGAAGAAATCTTCAACACTCTGTCAGTGTACATCAAAGGACGGGAGAAGTTACGGAGGCTGAGTGTCAACCCTACCAGTGTGGTATGTGTATATCCACCCCCTTCTCTTCCAACACGGCAGACCCTAAGCACCTCAATCGAACAGGGAAATATTTCCGGCTATCACACCCTCATCAACCTCTTGCCTACTCTCCCTTCCATTGAGGTCTTCAGTATCCAAGCTGAAGGAGGCATGCAACCTTCCCTCACTGAGGAATTTCTTGCCGCACTTGATAGGGATCTTCCCCCAGGGATTGTGGCTCTGGCAGTCCAGGCCTATATACGGGGTACAGAGGTGCAAAAGATCATCGACAGATTTTGTGCTTTGGTGTGTATGCTCAGCAAGAAGTTCTCCATGTATGAACAGGAGCACTGACTATTTTGATATACAGCTGCGTAGTCGCCTCTCTTTACGTTATGTCCACATCGTCTTGTGGGAATATCCTGCTATCGTCAAGGGACAGCATTATCGGCCATTCCAAACGGAGCATGCACTTCTCGAACGACCACCTCCAGGTTTGGAGCTCTTTGGATACCACGATCGATTCCACCGCCGGCCAGAAGAGATCTTACCTGGAAGGCAAGCTGTCGACCAGCCAGAATGGTTGGAGTTGTGGTCTCCTGGCAAGGTTAGAGGTCGCACCGTTCACGACTATCAGTGTGAGGATTGGTATTGGTTGACAGGGAATTGGGATTTGGAGATTGAAGAGTGACTTAACCTGGCCTATGGTAGTTAGACATCAGGATCTGTCTCTGGAGTCTACAGTAGGGAATCGACAGGAGCACGAAACGTGTGCGGGATAGAACGACGCAGATCACCAAAGTGTTATGGCCTGCTCCGCAGCCTGTCTGGTTACGAGCTTCGGCGCGCACCCGCTACGGACGCCCAGCATACGATCGCCCCGCCACCCTACCTTTATATACCGTTCCCGCACCTACCGTCTCGCCACGCGATTGCCTCCTGGCTCCTCCCTGTCGCCTCTCCTACCCGTCTCCCCTGCTATCGCGAGCCTCACCGAGGTCAAGCGAGTCCCTCTAATCCGACCCGACTTCCTGCTCGTCTCCAACTCGCCCGACCTCCGCGCTCCCGCGCTCGCGACTATCGCCTCGCACCTCGCCGATGCGCCCGCGCATGGCGCGCCGCCTCGCGTCTTCACAACCTTCCAGCTCGCTGCTCAAGCACCTCGCGCAGAAGGGAGCGTTGATGCGAAGTGTGGCATACGGCTCGTGTGGGAAGCAGACGCCGCCACAGGCCATCCCCAAGTCGGGTGTGTGTTCCTACTTTCTGATTGTACATGTGCGATACCTTTGTACTTATTCACAATACCTCGCAACCACCTCCACTCCTGCGCGTATCCAGGCCGACTAGTGTGCGCAACATATCGCACAGCGGGGTCGTTATCTACCTGTGTGATTGTTTTGTTCTTGTAGTACATGTGTCGGTGTCCGTATATCGCGGTAGTCAATAAAAAGGGTTTCTTGTCGTATTTGAAGTGTGAACAAACTCTCAGACGGCCGACAGTAGCGGGCAAGCTAAGATCGTCGAACATTGGAATGGCTTTCAATGATTCAGCTCGGACATTGCAATGACTTGCAACCCTCCAGAACCTACAGTGGTGAATCGTCAGGTGCATCCATTGCCATAGCCTATCGGCAGGTGCGGATGCACCTGCTGATCCGGCCGGCCCGGTTGCATCCCCCGTGCTCACGCAGCCGCCCGCCACACGGGCGCGACACTGCCCCGAGACGTCCGGACACCGGCGCCTCAGGCCCTGCCACCTGAGCTCACCGTCTCCGACAGTGAGCTCACCACCCGCTTTGTTTCACATCACACTTCGTATATATTAGTGATCAAAATATATTTATCAATAAACTACTACACAGGGAGGCAGAGGCGGAGGTGAGTGCGGGCGGGCGACGCGGGCGGGTGATGCGGGAGGATGAGAGCGACGCGGGCGCAGGCGACGCGGCGAGGGGGTGAAGCGGGCATGGAGGAGGCGGGCCAGGCAGGTGCGGAGGAGGCAGGCAGGCAGGAAGACGCGGGCCAGGCAGGCGGGAGGACGCGGGTGAGGCACGGGCGGACGGTGAGGTGGGCGGAGAAGGGTAACGCGGCGAGGCAGGCGCGGAGGAGGTAGGCGTGGAGGAGGGCGAGGATGTGGGCGCGGAACAGGGCGACGTGGCGACGGGCGGCGTGGCGGCGGGCGACGCAAAGGCGGGTGAGGCGAAGGTGGGCGACGCGGGGACGCAGGACGCAGAGATGGAGGGTTGCGTGGGCGCAGATGGGCGACGCAGGCGGCGCGGACGCGGAGGGCTGGGACGCGCGGAGGAGGGCGATGCGGAGCAGGCGGAGGAGGGTAAGGCGGGGGGGTGGGGCGAGGCGACGGCCAAGATGACGTGATGGTGGGTGCCGCAACACCGCGGAGGAGCATGGCGACGCAGGCGGAGGTGAGGTGGAGGAGGCGGGCGACGAGGGCGGACGAGGCGGCGCGGAGGTGGGTGACGTGGAGGTGAGCTGCACAGAGGAGGGCGACGAGGGCGGGCGGCGCAGGAGAGGAGGGTGGCGCGAAGGAGGCGGGGGGCTCGAAGGAGGCGGCAGGCGCGGGTGGAGTAGGGTGAGGAGGAGGGTGGCGGCGCAGGGCAGCACGGAGGAGGAGGACGGCGCGGAGGAGGGCGAGGAGGAAGGCTGAGAGGAGGAGGACGTCCGGGCGGACGTCCTCGGCCTGTTGTAGGAGCGGCAGGTGGGCGTTGGGAATGCAAGAGGGCATAGTAGCGGAGGACTCACCAAAGCAGGGGCCACGGTACATCGCCGCGGCCCCGCATTCCAATCTCCATGCTGAGGACGTCCGGATGGACGTCCTCGTGCGCTCTTGACGTTGTGAGCGCGGCTGGCAAGGTGGGCAAAGGGCGGGATTGAGGTTGAGGTCGAGGGAGGTCGAGGGAGGTCAGAGGGGGGAAGGTCGGTGTCACCTGGTGACATCGGAGTCCAATAGCAGATGACAGTCGACCGTATGGTCGCTATCATCCGCCCGGGCTGAGCGGGAGGATGGAAGCGGCGAGGGTGTAGTGGAGGAGGAGGAGGAGGAGAGCAAGGACGGCGAAGGGGAGGGACGCGTGGCATGCATCACAGCCACGCGTTGATGCGCGCCACGCCCAGCGAGGCGCGTCTACACGGGCGCGCATCACGGATCAATGGGTGCACCTGTAGCTGCCGATGGGCTATGGCAACAGGTGCTCCTAGCGATTCACTGCTGCTCCCAGAACAGCTACAGAAGACATTCTCATTATGCATGACCTCATCACGCATAAATTCTCTTTTTGCATAGGAGGGGCCCGTGACCGAGCATGTACCCTGCCAAATATGCATGGAATCTAGAAGCGCATAATGCATAGGCCTGTTCATGAATAATGCATAATATAATGGTCAGTTTCAGGGTCGGCGACAGAATGGGCCTCGGATGTGTACCAACACTGAGCGAGTTTCAAAATAGACAGAACTGATATGTTCCATACAACAAGCCTCGTTACAGTCGTTCTGGGGGCTTCGGCAGGGCCCAGTCCCTCGCGGTAGTCTATATTATAGTTGCATTATAGCCATTACGTTACTTAGCGCCAATGTTCCTCAATAGACACTGCGTGAACCCATTTCTTGCACACTCGGATTAGGATCATGGATAGGTTGCCGATCCGGGAGTTATCCAGGTGTGCATATGAGGTCTCACCACCCCAGGATAAGTCCAAACTCCGACCCGAAGCCTGGACTATCCTGGGCTGGCCAGGTGATGGAAATGGAGGATATCCCGGGCGAGATCTATTGTCTTGCCTGGCCTGGAAAGGTGATTATAAGCCAGCCAGTCCCGCAGGATAGGTTGCGCATAGACAGTGTAAACGAAGAGCATACGCTCTCTAGCCTCAACCATCCTCACGGACCCCGTACACCCATGTTGCAGCGCAGTGGAAGCAATAAATAGATGGATTATAGCATGTAATTACCGTAATCTAATCACTCGTTGCGACGACGGGTACGCCCTAGGGCCCGCTAGCAGTCTGCACCCCCATACCAGAAGCAGCATCAGGCGGGCGGTCGACCTTGGAGTCGACGGACTTACCCTCGAGCGGGACCGTGTGTGCTCGCAGTCCCGCCAGCCACCGACGAGCGTGCGCTCCCCGACGACGTACCCACGGAAGACGGTGGGGAGGGCGCCACCGCAGCCCGCCGGCGGGACCTCGAGGCGGACAAGGACGACGAGGCAACGCCCCTGGGACAGAATCGGCCGTAGAGGTACGCGCGCCAGGCCTGCGCGTATCGCGCGGGGGTTTGTGCGTGCATGCGAGGGTGACAAGGGAGGAACGAAGCAGAAAAAAGGAAAAGATGAAACAGTGAAGGAGGAAGGCATGAGTCAATGCGCGCGCGGGGTAGAAAACGGGTCAGCAAATGAGAGCGGAGGGAGAAAAGTCTACTACCTCACCGGTGACGAAGATGTCCGTGATCCCAGACGTCCGCACAATGTCCATGTCCACGTCCGTTGGTCTCGCCGCGCGCGAGTGCGCGTCGTCCATCTCGTGCACTTTGTAGTCCTTGCTCGAGACCGCATCGATGAACTCGTCGACGTTAATGTCGAGCCCGTCCTGGGCCTTCCGGCGCACATGGTCGATGTGCGCCGCTCCAGCCGAGCGTCGAACACGTACGAGTCCTACACCATGCGAGCGTGAGTGCAGAAAGAGGCCACAGAAGGCGAGAAACTCACGAGGTGGCCCACCCAGAGCCCGGACAGAGACCTGGACGTGAACTTGGGGCCGCTGAGGGGCACACGGCCGCGGACCCAGGGGACAAAGCACGCTCTCCATTGCTCCCAGTCGTTCTCCTACCGCGCACTCAGACTCGCCAGCCGGTCACTCCATGACCGCCCATCTTCCTCCCGCCTCCGCGCGCCAGTCGCAGTCGCTGTGCGAGGGCGGGCGGATCGCACGCACAGCATGGTACTCGTCAAAGTCAGTTATCGTCGGACCACGGAACTGGATCTCCTCCGCCTCGGCGCAATCGGAAGACGCAATGAGGAGAGGAGAGAGTCGGGGCGAGTGCAAAGAAGAGGGAGAGGGAGAAGTGTTAGAAGTCGACGGCTCGGTCGAGGTCGGACAAGGGGGTAAAGGCAATCGATACCACGCGGTTGGTCCCTATGGGCACCGGGAGGCGAGTACAGACGGACGCGGGGGAGAACGAGGTGGTGGGGAAGGGCAAACGCGTGAGGCGAGTGCGGGACGAGGGACGATGGCTATCTACACGATGACTAAGCACAAGTAAGGTACGACCGAGCTTGCCATACACGTGAGCAGATTCCAACAAGAAGGAGAAGGAGAGGGCGCGGCGTGCGATGTGGACGATGACTCTGAGATTTTATTAGGCTGCCGAAACCGGAAGCAGCCGGAAGCGCGCACCGTGATTGGTGGGCTCTCCACTGTTCATCTCCGCGTTCCGATTCAGCTCTCTATCCACTAACACAAGTACCCCGAACCTGAGACTTACCCGCAGGACACGCATCCGAACCAGAGCGCACCTGGGGGAGGTTACGCAACCTATGATGGTGTGGAATAGCTTGAGCAAGAAGCTATATCCTCACATGGTTAGCCAAGGACAGACCACCTGTTCTGGATCTCGCCCGACGTCAGCACAGGTGAACAAGCCTCATGATAAAGCCTCAGGTTTTTTGTGGAAAGGTCCGGGTTAGGTGGTACAGGTCGTCTAACCCCATCTAACCAGCCCCTGCATTCCGACGCGGTTCACGCAGTGAGACGCCTACTCTATTCGTGCATATGCGCCCACAATGCATACCGATATTGCGTGACGGACAGTATGCGTTATGAGAATGCATTCTGTATGCAGCTAGGTTCTTAGATCCGAGGGTGTGCTCGATCATTGTGTAGCCTGCCTGACATTTATTAGGTCTGTTAATGTGCAAATGATCGAGAGTACACTGAGTACAGAACATTAGATGACCAGTGAATGGCCATTTGACGATCTGCTGCTGATCAAGCCCCAGTGGGGATTCCCTGGGAACAACCGTTTCTCCCACAAGAGGGGTTCGTGCGCGAGACCACAGCAGGTTATGAACAAGTCATCGTAAATTCTCCCTGCACACACTGATGCCATGTTGTGGGGCGTTTCTGTCCCGAATCTAGACTCCGCAGTCAGTCCCACAACGCCCAGGAGTCGCCCGCGCTGAAGTTGCAGCGCCGCGGCACCTCATTCGACCTCAACATCCAGCGCTTCGGTACTTACAACGCGATCGGGTTCAGGGTCGTGCACAGTCTGCTCGTATTCATGGCCCTCACGCGCGCCGGCTCGTGTTCGGCGCATCGGCGTGCATGGACGTGTGCGCGGGTCTGGCGGTGGCGTTTTGAAGGCCTCGCGGTTCACTCCTGAGAGGAGACGTGGCGCGCGGACGACGGGGTGCGCGAGCGCGAGCTCGAGCGTACACTAGCGGGTCCAGCGCATATTCCACCCGAGATGTGCGAACGTGCATGCAGCTCGTCTGTTTGCACTCGTTGATTGGAGCATCATGGGAAGGGTGCCGCGCGAAGCGTGGCGACGCTTGTAGTGCTCAAGCAGGGCCACCATAAAACTACACTGCGGAGCGATGGTAACAAGTGATGCCTTTCATCAGCGTTGTGCACGCACATACCTTATCCATCCTCCTTCGTGCTCAAGCACTCACCTTTCCCATGCTGCATCACATCTGTCACACTCCTACTCTATCCGACTTCCTGAGTCTCATGCTCAAGTCTCATGCCCATGCGAGCTCACTCTTTCTTGTTTACTGTTGCCGAAGAGGAACAATGAGGCTATGGCAATCAAGCCAGGCACTCCAATTCCACCGGTCTGGCTTGTGTTGAGGCGAGATCTGGCTCCCACTTGGGATGGCAGATCGCAATTTGGCGGGCGATCGCCTATTCAAACTATGCAGCTAGGTTCTTAGATCCGAGGGTGTGCAGTTAGACGTCCTCAGCGCAGCAAGCAGGGTTGAAGCACACCTCACAGGTGGGGGAAGCAAGTCGGTGGCGGACAGCGGAAACAAGACGGGGCGGCGGGGCGGCGAGTATACAGCGCCGGCCGCATGCAGCCCCGTGTGCAGAGGGGACGCGCGTGAGAGCGCCAAAGGTTCAAGTGGGAGGAGGAGGAGGGAGTGCGTGGATATCCTCGACGCGTCGTAGGCGTCGACAAGACAGCAAGGCGTGGTAGAGGGCGGCGGCGGGCGCCCGTGGTCCATTAGGGCGTTCTCCTTACCGCATCACAACATGATGGCAGGCGGAGCGGGGGATTCACACAGACAGCTCGAGGTACACAGTTGAAAACTCTGGCCACATAGACGCACTTACCTATCGTGGGTGTGATGGGCGCTGCCTGCCTGGCGGGCAACAGAGACAGGCCAAGGACAGAACGGGGGGTCGGACACATCAACTCACCGGCGTAATGGCACGGGACTCCGAATACACACGGCAAAAAGACGTACTCACCTGCAAAGAGGTGCTGAAGAGCTCACCTTTATGCGGCCCCGACAGAAGACGACCTTTATGACGGATGGAAGAGAGACGAGCACGGAGGACGCGCGCAGTGCCGAGGTCGACTCATAATACGCGTTGTGCAGGAGGCAGGTGGAACGGGACCAAGGGACCATACGCGCAGCCACGTCTG